CATCGGTTTTACCCCGCATAAAAATGGGCCGCCGGCGCGCAGGATCACAGTGCCACCTCTGCCTTGCGGATTTCCATGAAAAATTTGTGGCCGCGCTTCGAGAAGGCAAACTGCGGGGTCGACAAATCGACGCCGCACGTGGTTCTTAAAAAATGAAGTGCCGGGAATGGGACGCTCAGAGAAGGGCCATTTAAGACAACGTACTTGGCTTTCGGAGGGACTTCTCGTCGCCACGGCTGGAGGCAGCACGGACAACTGGTGCGTATGGACACCTGGAAGGGGCCACGCGGACCGATTGTGAAGTGCCGCTGTCTCAAGTCGCCCAACTCTGAGATGCGCAGGCCATCGGATGATGGCTCCATCACTACAGGCCATACCAGAATGTCTGTCATCGCTATGGCCATCGCTGCAGGCTCCTTTGCCAGCTTCTTGGTCTTCTTGGCCTGTCGCGGGCACTATTCATTCCATGAGCACAAGCACTGTTTAGAAACATGTGTCCCCAGTAGGGCGGGACATGTGTTTACCTGGCTTGCCCAGAGGATTGTCATGCGCGCTGTGTTCTATTTTCGCAATGCAGAGCTCGCACGTAGCAATTGGTTCACTATTTCCCCAGATGATGCGCGCATGCGCAGGCGGCCTATTGGCGCAAACGCTTGCCTGATATTCCACTAAGGCGCCGCTTTCGTAACGTCACTTCACACCAATTGCTGCAATGATGCGCTCCTGTTGCGAGCATGCCCGATGCGCATTCTTACAACCCGCTCGGACGTCATAGTCCCACGAACCGTCTGGGCGCGAGTGTTTCTCCCCCGTCAGAAAAAGTGTTGCCCTTCCTCTACCCCCCTGGGTCTGGACGGGGGGATGGGCGAGCGGCCAAAGAGCCCATCATGGCCGGCAACATTGCCCCATATACGCAACTGATTCTAGATGGCATCCAAAATCGCAGTCGCCCAATATGGTTTAAGATGGATTTCCAACGTGCCTCTCAGAGGCCCTCAAGTCGCCCCAAAACGGGTCCAAGTGACCGCGGAGTTTCCTAACGGCGCCCACGAGAAGCCAAAACCTATCACAAAGGTGTCGGCGGCCTCCAGGCGGCTGCGCGATTGCCCAGTAGCGCGGCAAGAGGGGCTAACGAAAACCCCAATACGGCCCCGAGAGCGCCGCAAGAGGGCCCCGCGAGGAGATTGTTCGGGCCCCGACGGGGCTACTACCACTAGGGCCTCAATCAAAGGAAAGTACCCGAAAACGCCCCCCAAGGCCGACAAAAAAGGGGCCCAGGAGAGCCCAAAATCTTTGAGAGGACCTCCAAAACGGCCTGATGAGAGCTCCAACGTGGTTCTGGTCGTGCTCTAAGAAGCATCCAGATGTCTCCCAACGATTTCTGAGTCCATCTGTAATGCCCCTTGCTTAAATACATGCTTACGCACGCCCCTCATCCGGACAACTCCCAGGGGTATTGGTTCTGGATGGCGCCGCGGCGTCAGGAATTTAATGCGCGCTTCATAATCAGGTCACTTCTGGTGTTGCGATTGCCAAACATCGCGACCATATGTTTTTAAACACACCGGCAAATTTTGCAACGTTGCCGCAAAGCCCAACCTGCCTGGCCACGGACAACTGGCGCTTCTCCTTCCAGCCACGTCCCGAACATGTTCACCTTTCCGGGATATCTTCAAGTCCCGCTGTCATTGCGCCAGATGCTTTGATGCGTCAAATTCTTTCTGCCGTTACATTTGTCGCCGCGGCTCGGCGAGGCCCGCGGGCGCCAAAGCGAACGCAGCACTGCAGAGAGGAGGAGGAGGAGGAGGAGGAGGAGGAGAAGGAGGAAGAGGAGGAGGAAGGGGGGCTCGACGAAGAGAAGGGTTGCAATGGCGGCAACGACGACGATCCAGTGAAAGCCCAGCCTGTTCCTGACATATCCGCCACCGCGCCGTGGGCACGGAGCAGGGTGTCCCCGAGTAATTTGAATATTCTGCCGTGTCCGCAGGCGTCATTGCAGGGTCGGCCTCCGAACTCGCTGGGCGCGGCGCGCCCCCGCGTGTCCTCGCGCGGCCCCCCAAGACGACCCACGAGGGCATCGATGCGGACCACTTTCGCTGCAAGACGCCCAATATCCAACATTGCCTCAAGACGGCCCGAGAGGCCCTCAAAACACCTCCAAACGGCTCCAAGAAGACTGCCTAGAGGGGCCCAGGATGCAAACACTGTCAAACCACTTGAGGAACACATGCATGTTTTGCACATTCGCTTTCTGGGTCTTCACAGCGCTCACGGCGGCCGAAGGGCGCCCCGAGATCGCCCCAGGATGGGCCGGGACAGCCCCGGAGAGCCCCCGAAACGGCCCAAAGGGAAAACTCTAATCGACATTTCGAACTCTCCGCCCCGAGAAGACCTCCGAGACCGCGAGCAGGCCCCCAAAGAGGCCCTCAAGAGGTGGGCTTCCAAGAAATCCCCAAAGCAGCACCAAAATCCACCGAAGCAATCCCAAGGGCGCCCCAAATTCTTCAAAACGCTTCCAAGCGCCCCCCCGAAAGGCACCCCAAGAGACCAGAACGGCATCCAATATGCCTCTGACCCACGACTCAGGCACGGTGGCGGGATAGGCCGAAGGCCACCAGATATTCGACCATCGCCCAACTTCGGACAGAAATCGGCGGCGGGCGAGGAGGGGAAGTGAAAAGGAAAAAAGCCTTCTCAGAAGGCAGCGGGACCCCTTGGAAGCCCTCGCGCTTTCTGACAGATTTTTGCGTCTTCGGACAAGGCTCAGGAAACTTCTCAGAAGGCCGGAAGGCCCGCCCCTTCTCACTTCCCCCCAGGGCCGGCCGGCGAAAGAAGGCCGGAGCTTCGAAGTGCGCCCAGCCGCGGCGGCGAAGAGCACACAATGAACATAAATAAAACAAAGAAAGGGCATCCTCGGCGCCCTGACCTTCCCAGGGAACTTTTCCGGCTTGAGCGCGGGCCACATGTGGTTCACCACTGCGTACGGGTGGGAGCTTTCTGCCACGACGCGAAGGACGCGCCCAACCCGTACTGGACAATTCGAGGGGCTGACCGTGCACGCCACCGTCGCACGTGAGTGAGAGTGCCTGTAGAGCGCATGCATGCCGTCGCGCAGATCCACCTGCCCTGCAGCCGGGCCCAGAGCTTGCGAAACGCTGGCGCGCACCGACACAGCAACAATATGGCAGAGCGCAGCTTGAAACAGAGCGCGGCTGCGCGAAAACATTCAAATCTTGATCAAACTGAGGGGTTGCAGTAAACGAATTCGCTCGCGGGGTGCACCTGCGCGTCGCGTCGTAGCAAAGCGCGGCGCGTTTCTGCATTTGGTTACACGCCAATGTATGCGTCTTGACGCACGTGGCCGCCAAGCCTTTCAGGGGCGCCCTCGAGAGCTCAACATCTTTCCAACTCTTTAAGAAATGAAGCGGCTCATTTCGGTGCCTCGGGATGGCCCGAAGATCGCCGGAAGCAAGTCCGACAGAAACTCGCAGGCGGCCCCGGGGCGGCCCCGAGAGCGCCCGCTATCGCCTCAAAAAGCGCCGCGAGAGATAATGCTTTGGGATTAGACGGGGGGGGCGTACGTAGGACCCCCCACTCCCCCATCGGATTGCCTTCAAGATGGTCCCAAGAGCGCCCCGCGGGGGCTTCGAGAGAGCCCGCAAAAGACCCCGGGAGGGCCCTGCCAGAGCCCGACAGGCTGTCGAAGTTGCCCCGAGATTAAGAGGCCCCCCGAGGTCTCCAGTTTCACAAATGTTGGCCTCCCTGGTTCATTATGTGATTACCTGCGTCCTTCCTCTGGGCAAGTTCCTGGACGTCGCTTTCTGGTTCGCAGTCCTGCTGAGCTGCGTTTTTCTGCGTCACAGCCGCGACGCGTTCCCCTTCCTCATTGGCAAGCGCGCCCCTGCCTCCACCGCGCTAAGTGGCGCATGGTCTCTCTCTCTCTCTCTCTCTCTGCCTCACTCGTGTGTGGGTGGGTTGGTGAGTCAGCATGCGCGAAACATCGAGACTTGCCGGCGCTGTCCGGCGAGCACGTAAGAACCGCATGATATGGGCGATTCTTGGAACAAGGGCCCATGCGGCCGCTAAAGCCTAAGCGGTCGAGGCAAGCAACATCAGATCGGACACGCCAGCAGCGCACAGCGCTGCAACATATTTCAAAGTATGGCATAGCAATACGACCTTGTGCCCGCATGTGCATTGCATAGTGTAGCGCCGCAAAACAACATTGACACCGTGGCGCGCCACGCGTGTCCATCCAAGCGCACGGATGAATTTATCTCGTCGCGATGCATCACAAACGTACCAGCTGCGATTCATGTCACTGCATGATTGAGGCCCTGGGGCAGCGCAGAGAGTCGACGGGGGCCCAGCCAGGAATTGAAGCTTCTGGAGGCCCTTGAGCCGCATGCATGTGCCCCCCCCCGCGCAGGGCCACCAATCAAGTAGAGACCTCTGGGGCGAGGCCACGCACTCAAAACGGACGAATAGCAAGAGCGGCGGAAGCAGAGATGCCGTTGATCAGCGGAGCAAAATTCCTCGCCACCGGCGCTGCTGCCACCGCCAACGACATGCAGCAGCTTGGGTACCCTGGTGCTTGGGATCGCAGTAGACATTGCAAGCGTAAGACCTTCGTGAAAATTCGCGTGGGATGCATCGACACAGCGCACGTTCCCAACGGCGCGCATCTCTGCAATCTTGGCGCGCAGGGTCTGGCCTGACGGGAGATACTCGGGAAGCTGTTGTCGCAATAGTTGGTCACAGTGCGATAAATGGCCAGCATCCTTGCCACCTGAACGGAATGCGGAGACTGTTTGAACTCCTGCTTCAGAGCCCCCGGCCCCCCCCCCGCCCCCGCCGCAGAATGTCGCCCGGCCGATTTCCGGCAGATATGAAAAAGAAATCGCGCTGGAGCAGCGCGGTGCCCACCGCCTCCGCGACGTGGGAGACGCGCCGTGGTCTGAAACAAAACTGAACATGCAACAGGAACCGCGTTACCAAGTTCAAACAAGCATGGCCCCGATAGGCGCGCGCCATCTGTCGCGCAGGGATGCCCCCCCCCCAGAAGACGCGCCCCATTCTCCAGTACGGCCCAATTTGTACTTGCAAGGCCCACCAGCTTCGAGCAACGCGCGAAGCTTGCGCAACCATTCCAATCCCGAGGACACGTCCGACTCGGACCACTCAGGATGTGTCAACGAAGGCCACGTTCCCTGTAGCTCGCGAACTTGACTGGGATCGGCAATCACAAAAGGGTCAGACCAATCCAGTGATGTCATCCACTTCTTTGACTGCACGGAAATACTCCCGTCTGTAGACCAGAAAAGCCGGATATGGTGGGGGCTCGCGACGCCTGGATGGCCGCGTGTATAATCGAGCGGGAATGGCTTGCTGCGTCGCAAGCGGCGCGCGAATTCTGCCGGGCGCGCGGTCGTGCACGCGGGCCACATGGGACTGAACTTCACACGAGCAACGGGCCACGCGCAACCATATCAGCTTGCCCGGATGGGTGATATTTTGGACGCTGGAACCGCCTCCCATTCGAGTGACGCGGGGCACGAAACACCGATTCTATGATATTAAACATTCCAAGCGGAGGTCGAGGGGTCACCAGGCGCGGTGCCACGGGCCGCGCGAGCACGTCATTGCGCGGCGTTGCGAAACATCGCGGGCCACGAAGCATGGCGTGCAACGTGCCTGTCAACAATGTTGCAGTACGCCTTCTTCGCAACATTGGCAGACGACGGTCGCTGTAAAGAACTGCCCGGGGACGCCCCCAAACCCTTGCATTCATGGGGCGACTACGCCCAGGACCGCTCGACGCAAAGAACATTTCGAAGGATCCACAGGACCCTCGGGCGCTCCCAGGGGCCCACGAAAGTGGCGACAGTTTCGCAGATCGAGGATTCATTATGGTCTGAGTGGGTGGACCACTCCGCTGGACCCCCCAGGAACCCGCGAGAGTGGCGACAGATTCGCAGTTCGCAGACCCCCCAGAAACGGCGACGCCCCGCGGTGATCTGCGTCAGACACCGCCCCGCTGGACCTTCCAAGGGCCCGCGAAACCGGCGACAGTTTCGCAGGTCGCAGACCCCCATGGGACAGCGAAGTCGCGAAGTGGCCCCTGCGAGACGCCGCTGCGCGGGGCCTCCCAGGAGCCCGCGAAAGCGGTGGCAGTGCTGCGGGTCGCAGCCCCCCATGGGCGGCGAGGCCTCGCTGTGACCTGCGCAAGTTGCCCCTCCGATTGACCCCCCGGGGGCTCGCGGGGAGGAGGAGCGGGAGGAGGAAGGAACGGGGGGGGGGAAGAGGGGAGAGAACGGGGCGAGGAGGACACGAGTTCGCACCGCAACGCTCCATTCAAAACGAAAACCCAACCGAAGGAGGGTCGCGAGTACACCGCAAGCGGAGGGGGAAGAGGAGGGGGGAGAGGAGGGGGAGGAGGAGGAGGAGGAGGAGGAGGAGGAGGAGGAGGAGGAGGAGGAGGAGAGGAGGAGGGAGGAGGAGGAGGAGGAGGAGGAGGAGGGAGGAGGAGGAGGAGGAGGAGGAGGAGGAGGAGGAGGAGAGGAGGAGGAGGAGGAGGAGGAGGAGGAGGAGGGGAGGAGGGAGGAGGAGGAGGAGGAGGAGGGGGAACGAGGAGGGGGAGGGGGCGGGAGTAAGGAAGAACGGGGCGACCGCAGTGCTCTTTTCAAAACTAGTGCCCAAACCAGAGGAGGGTTTGGGAATAAATGCGTAATGAACCAGGTCCTTTCACAGTATCCGACGAGAGGAACGACGGTTGCTCGTCCCTGAAGGCGAAAACGTCCCGCAGGTGCTTCCACATGGGCGGGTTCTTCATGTGCGCCTCCAGCGCAGTGAACATCTGGGGAACCTGGGCATGCCGAGCACCCCAAAGCACAATTCACACACTCATGCTCGTTTTCGTCGTCTTCGCAGTCGTCGTCATTCAACCATTCTGCGACTTCCGCCTCCCCCTGCTGCTCTTAATCCCCCTGCCCCTGTTACCCCCCTGCAGAGGCCCGCGCGCGCGGGCGACCTCGTCGCGACATCCCGGCGCGCACGACGCAGATCAAGAACCGATAAAATGTCGCGCCCGCGCAAAGCAGCCCCCACGTAAGCAAATATTGCATCCACTATGTCGTGCGTGTGGCCAACGATCAAAAATCCAAACTCGATCGAAGTCAAGCACGTGTATTGTAACTGCGCCAAGACCCACACTGCTGCACCAAGAACGATAGTGTTTTTGGTTTCCTTTGCAGTGTTGTCCGCCTGGATGAAGAAGCGGCGGGGTAGAACGCCTTGGGACCGCGCCGCTTCCAGCAGAACCTGGCTGCGGCGCAGCGCCGCGACGGGCGCCGCGCGAGCAGATTCGGCAGAACACGCGCGCAATATTCACTCACTGCCCGACTACCCATCAGCATGGCCATGCGTCCAATGATTATGCCTGGGAGCCCAGGGCACCACAAACGCGGCCTCGAAGCACCTCTGAACGACTGCAAGCTGACGCGGACGCGGCAAGGGCCTGGCTGCAAGGCGGGGCCGCGTGGCTGCGGGGCAGCAGCTGCATGATACAGCACCCCCCGAAATCCCGATGACGAAACGCAGTCAGACGACTGAGGGCACCCGGAAGGCCATGGCATTCACCTCCCCCCGGGACAATACTCCCGCCCGCTTCCGCAAAACATACCCGCAATTTTTTATTTCCGCAAGCTGGTTCCGCCAGTCTTCGGCCGGCCTCCGACATGAAGGAAGCAGAAACGTTTAAAATCTTCGAGCGTGAGTCCCTCTTGGGATCGCCCGCCTCGGCGCCGAGGTGCCCAATCGCGAAGGGCGCCGAAGTCCGACCTCGAAACCCGAGGAGTAAAACAGGTTTGGGGAGAGAACCGCGGGACGACGGGATGATACTCTTCGGCTTCGGAGTCAACTACCTGCACTCGCCCCCTGCCGGATCGCACCCTTCAGCTGCGCGCGCGCATGTGCGGTGCGAAGACCCACCCGTCGGGCATTCGGCCTCGATTCGCTTGTTCTCCTCATCCGGGTGTCGCCCGTCCTCCTCTTCCTCCTCCTCCTCCTTTTCATCCTCCTCCTCCTCCTCCCGTGCCAATTTACAAGTGTTGTGTCCTCCTCCTCCTCCTCCCCCTCCTCTTCCTCCTCCCCCTCCCGTGCCAATCAATATTAATTCGATTTTTCGACGCGCTTAACTTGCAAGTCTGAGCGTCCCATAGAATGCCTACGACCATGTCGGAACCCTGCTCCCGGTCTTTGAACACGGTGTAAAATAATGGTCTTTTCCAGAGGCACGGCGCGTGCACCCCAAATAATGCGACAACAATGCGGGCACCTTGTTTTTGGAACGACGTGTGGCTCAAAGCCTGCACGCGGGGTACAATCGTTTTCAATTGGTCCATTTTGTCCCAAGACACAGCAATCAATTTAGTTGGGTCCTTCATGCTCTGCTCAAAAATGTTGCTAATGGCGATGCGCTGGGCAGCCTGGAAATCGTAGTGCTCCCCAAGTCGGAGAAGGACCGAATGCCTGACGGACGCATCGCGCGCTTGCTCTGCAACCATCTTTAAATAGTCGCAGAGTCCACATCGCGTGAACGGACCGTGCGTAGCTCTGATCCGCCAACCTGCCACTAGGCACCACTTGAAGTGTCATCAGATCCTCTAGAACCCTCAATGCTGAATGCACACCGACCGCTGCAAGCGAGGTGTCGGATGAAGGGGCCAGAGGCCCAAGACCCGGATTTCTTAAGATGTGTCGCGTGACTCTCGGGGCTTGCCGCGTGATTTTAGGATTGGGCGCGCGACTTCCCCTTGGCCCAGAGAGCTCCAGGACGAACCAAATGCTTTCAAGAAGGCCGCAGGGTCCAAGGGGCCCCGGGACGGCCGAAGAGCACTTCGAGAGAGCCCAAGGCGACGTCAAGACAGCCATCAAGGCTTCTGGATGCTCCAAGAGGGTGCCAAGAAGACCACATGTATTTGAATTAGCTTGGCGAAAGACCCAACCCTATGCAGGCGCGAGCGCCGCAAGGAAGAGGAGAAACCGGGCTTGGGGCGATCGAAAGGACAACTGGGGGCGCCGAAATGGGGGCACGATCCACGTGAAGAGTGCTCTGATGTGGGCGCGCGTACACAACTCGGTCGCGCCAATTGATACCGTGCGCGGGGCTCCCACGAGGACTGCCGCGCGGACCTTGCGGCTGAGGGGTGAGGAAACGTTTGGGGGTGATACCGGAACCAGTGCGGTGCCGCCGCGAGAACTCTGCAGCTGGCCATGCGGACGGGCCCACTGAGACCGCAGACGTAGCTCCCTACGGGGCCGCAGCACGCGCGAGGAGTGTGCTGAGGGAAAGAGGGGGAGGGGGTGGGGGGAGAGGTGAGACGCGGCGTGCCGCGGATTCAAAGCGAAGACCCAACGCCACATGATGATTCGGAGCAACATGGCCCATTCGCCAATGCGGTTCCCAACAGTTTTAAATAAACCACGAGGGCCGCGAGATTTTTCAGACCGCCCCACTGGCTCCCAGGAGGGCCCCAGGGCGGCCCAGGAGGCCCCCAACTGAGCCACAAGAGCGGGGAAGCGAAAGATTACTGTTCGAACCTCCCACCCAGCCATTGCCCCTGGGAGAGCCAGGGGGCCCCCAAAAGGCCCCCAGAGCCCAGAGGCCCCCAAAAACCCGAGAAGCCTCATGAGGCCCCTAAGCGACCCCGAACTGATCCAACACTGCTTCAAAGGTGCCCTCGAGAGGCCTCCAAAGAGACCCAGAAAAATCAGACTCTCAAGTGGGCCCTCCGGTCCACGGCCCAAGAACGGCGGCGGATGGTTCGGCCGAAGGCAAATAGATAACAATCCACGGCAATTCCTCCCGCCAAGCGCGGTTGAAGTGGGGGAGGCTGGCAATGAGCTGCGCGCCTGCGTGCACTCTGGACCGGTAGTAGCATGCCCAATAAAATTTTTTCAAGCCTGCAGGAAGCATGATCTTGTCACTGTTCGGGGGCGAATCCCCGTGAGATTTCGCATAGACCGCTGGCCCGCGGAAGGGGGGGCTGATTGCGCGGAAGGTTGAGGTTGTGGGCTTAAGGTGGAAGGCGCGTTTGACGTCGACGGCGCGCTGCCCCGCCCATCATCCACGCCCCACAGCCGCTCATCTCCCACCCACTGTGCTGTCAATATGACCTCCTCGGGCTCCCAGTGAACGCATTCATTTTGGTTCTCTTGGGGCCTCGACGAAACCATGATCCAGAGAATGTCCGGAGCCCCGGGGGGGCCCAACATGAAGGCGCCCACTTCGGGCATCTTGCCCCCCCCCCGAAACGCCCAGAAAGAACAAATTCGGGGCGGCGGGAAGAGGCGGGGGAAGGTGGGGAGAGGTAAATGAGGAGGTGGACGTCGGAGAAGCCAGTTGGGCTCGCCTTTGAGTCCAAGGCTTTCCGTCGTCCTCCCATGCGCGCGGGAACCCGCGCGGTTTGCGCGAATGGGCTCCTTGGTCTCCGCGCGCTGGCATCATGTCCATGCGGCTGCCCGCGTGGTTTATTGTTGGTGCTCCTATGGGCTCTGATTTATCTCACGCGGGATACTACTTGATACTTTCGTGAATCGTGCGGGACGACACATGGATTCGCAACCAGGGGAACGCGGAAGGAGACTCATGGGCATTTTACGAATGGCCCTACGGGCTCGTGCAAGTCTTGCTGCGGGTTTTGTTTGGTGCCCGTATGGGTTCCATTGGGATGGCAAATTGGTATTTCTATGGGTGGTCGTGTACTCACTTCTGATGAGCCTCATGGGTATAATTATGGATCCCGCTGAGGATGCCCATGTGTGCCGTAAGGGTGTAATTCTATGGATGCGGGCGCCGATGCGGGCGCCTGTGCCCATGCTCCATGCGTGTTCTGGGTGATCCGATGGTCATACTTGAGCATGACCTGGGCCCCCTTCCTATGTGCATATTGGTATCTCAGTAAACGCTAATAGGTCCATCTACCCATTAGCAGTCCATATATATATATATGAAACAAAAAGCAACAAAAAAAAACACCCGAGAATGTGCAATATCAAAGTCGGGGCGGGCCAGGGCGCCTACCCACCAGATCGGGCACGAATGCCGGGGGCGGCAGCGCAGTCACAATCGCGATATAACTTCGGGGGGGAGGGCGGCAGCGAGGCTAAGCCCACGCCGATCTAAAATCCAAGCCCTGGCGTCCATGTATGCCAAAGGTCGCCGGCCGACCCACATGCCACACCGTGGAATTCTAGGGGAAGTCGTGGGCTCGCTCGCGGCCATGCGCCGTGCGTGTTGGAGGGTATCTGCATGGATGGCTGTTACTGCAATGAATGCGTCCCGGCAAATATGGACCCCGTACACCTTGTACCGCATGCGAAAAGCAGAGAGGTCTCCCAAGTGTTCTGCCTTCTGTATGTCCAGTTCCTTCGCGTACATGGCCATGAGACGGGCGTCTCTGTCAGCTTTCGGCAGAGCGTACCACAATTTCCGCCAGCGCAATACCAAGATGGGCGCAGCGCGGAAAATCCACAAGCCGTTGGGCGGCCTTGAAAGCATGAGTGCGTTGATCACGACGCCACTGGCCAGGGGCCATGAGCGAGAAACCGCGGGTCATTGGCCGCGCGCCATGCCACGGGCCACGATGTTCTACGTCGTGGCACGGGCACAAGATCAGCAAGCCGCGGCTCCCCGACAAAGAATGAAACTACGAACAACATATCGACAAGCACACTCCAACTCAAGTGCACCTGATCGAAACGACGCTGCCCGATTTGATGCGATTGGTGCGGCAATGTGGGCGGACACGGCAAAGCCATCAACATATCCAAACACGCATGGGCAGATTGATACCGATTGCATGGTTTTTCCAAAGAGCAAGTGATTGATTGCCAACATAATTTACGGCACACCTTACCACTTTTCATGAAGTCGTTAAATTTGCCAAAGCGTTGCGTAAGAAGGCCGTGCCTTCTTTTTCCCACTTGATATTGAAAGTCCCTTTCGATGCCGCATTCTTTTTCAAATCGCTCCCACTGGAGCAATTTAACCGCGGCGCGCCAATGCAAAGTTTGGAACGCATGCCCTTCCACATCGGCGGCTACGTCAACCTCGAGCGTTCTGCAATAACTCGGCAATGCTGGATCGACATTGCCGTCGGCAGAAAAAGGATCCCAATCCAATAGTTTGTCGCACAGTGCGAAGAGAGTGGCGCCATCCTGCGCGTCCTCCTGCGCAGCGCAGTCGTCGCCCAGGTCGTCTGCGTCGCCCGGTACTTCGCAAGAACGTATGTCGCCATTGGCTGCTCGAGTGATCGTCGCAAGGGCGTCGCCTTTGTCTGCTTCTATTTCTTCTTGGTCGCCTCGCTCTTCGTCGCCGTCCACTGGCTTGACGGCATAGAAGTGAAAGTTGCCAACGTTGGCGAGAAGAGCCACGGGGAGCTCCTGAACGCCGTAAACACACTGAGCAGCGACAAGTTGGGGACTGCCACGCCCAATAAAACATAACAGCTGGATGCAGAACACGGCTGACGCAGCGTGCAGCATTGGGGTATCGATCCACTGTCTGTCTACAGCCATCTTTCTCACGTAACCTTCTGCATCCAGTCCATGTTCCATCTGGCGAGGACTTGTTTTTGAAAAGTTGCGCAGCCGTCATGGGCCATGGGCAAATGCGCAGGCGGACCGCAATAAGTGCCATCACGTCTATTTATGCGCATATATGCGCTCGTAAAAGATTGCGGCTGCCCTCTCGAACATGCACTAACGGTAACGCGTGACGTGCATGTCCCCGACTCGAGCCATGGCGGACGTATATTCCGGTGGAGGTAGACCACGCGCGCGCATGGGCATGGGTGTTAGGACGCGCAAGTCGATGCGCGCGCATAGTGTGCGAACGTGCATATGCCAGGGTACAGTCGGCCCAGATTAGTAGGTCGATCCTGCCAAGCCCAGGGCACCCTTGTGTCCTGTGTCTCGCGACCCATGCTTCCTGCATTCCTGTGGCAATGTGGCCCTCGGAAGGGTCTTGTGCCCTCTCGCGTGTCCTGTCCAATCAGTCCCGACTGTAAACCTATGTGCGTTCGCATTCGTACTTGCATGTATCTGGGCATGCGCGCGCATGCGCGTCGTCAGATCACCTGCGTGAGTACGCGCGCGTCTGCACATGCATGTGTGCATGAAAATGCTGACGTGTACTTATGTGGCCACGTGCCCGTGGATAGGCATGTACACGCATGCCTTCCAGCGAACCCAATCCATATTCACGCCCATCCTCACGCGCATAAGCACCATCAGAACGCATACATACAATCATCTGTATCCGATGTATACATATATATATACATACATATATGTGTGACTTAGTGTGCACCCGCGTGGATGCTTATAAGTACCGCTTGCGTTGATGCACTTACTCTGTATCTACCTGATGCGCGCGCGTGCATGGGTGCAGTTGCATGGGCACGCACGTGCGCGCGCGTGCTTATATGCACTTGCAGATGCACGCGCAGACACTGTAGCTCATGTTTTAATTCCTTGTCCTCCACCGTTTTGCACAGGCGAGCGCCGGGAACCTGGCCCCCCAAGAAAGTCGAATCGTCGCAGCCCCGCCGGGGCCTCCAGGCAGAACCCTGCGAATCAGAGCCCCACGCGGGTCTGGGACAAGGATTGGTTCATGGCCGGACGCCCGCAACCAATCTTCCACTGTCACGCCGGGTATCAGCAGATGGCTTGCATTATTTCTAATCCATATCAGCAACATCAACCTCAATGCCCTGACGGCTGCAAGCCTGCCCTTGGATTGCAACACCGCCATGATCCGCGAAAGCCTGTCCGGCAATGACAGGCGCGTCGCGTAAACTAGTAACCGGGTTGTCTGCGACATGTTCGTTCAGCTCACGTCGATGCAGACAGGTGACGCGACTACGCCCGATGCAAACGTTGACGCTGAGACGCGGGACATGCGCAGCTAAATCTCGATCGAGGCCCCCCCCTGCTGCAAATTGGACCACGCAGCGGAAAGAGCCCAGCTCATATGATCTTGCGGCTGGCGTCCGAGGGCAACTGCATGCGTTCAAGGTTGCGTAATATCGCATCCAATCCACAATCTCCTGCGGCAGGTGGCGAAATCTGGGCGCGAGTGATCGGGGCACAAACATCGCACCGCAACTTAACGCATAGGTATTTCTGCATTGCCCTGTTGCGGCATAGTCATCGGGAGGAGGGGGTCAGCTAAAATGGAAGCGCTGAGGAAGTCACAGAACCCCCTACCACTCCTAATCCCATCCCTCCTTCTTCCGGGACTATCCCCCTCCCCCCAATCCGCGCAACTTCGCCGAGCTCTTGGTTAAAACAAAACAGCAACCTTGAGGGGCCCTACCATCGCAATGCTGCATCGCAGTATCGGGGACGATCGACGTGGCCACCGACGGCCAACGCAGTGCTAACACCAACTTTCCCGACGGCCAACAAATCGATGGACGTGGCCACCCCCGCCTAGCGAACGTGAATCGTGTGTGTGTGCGTGTGTGTATGTGTGTGCGCGTGCTATGTGCTTGCGCGCTTGTGTGTATATGTGCGTGCCTGGCACTATATGCGCACTTCGTTCTGCTTCCCCGGTGCACTTGGCCGAGTGGACTTCCACCGGCTTGCGCCCTCAACGCAAGGCTGCAACTCATGACTGTGCTAACCGTTCTCGTGTGACGCGCGTGAGACCTCCTGGAAATGAGAAATGACAAGCGTGTGTGTCTGTGCGCGTGCGTGTGTGCGTGTGTTTGTGTGTGTGGGTGGGGGAATGTTGCGTGTGTGCGCGCATATGTTTGCGCACGTTGGTGCCCCCGTGAAATGTCTGACGTTTGTGTTGCGCCCAGCTCCTTGATCCAACGTCTGGCGGTCCAGTTCCAAGCCGTTCTGAGCGACGTGCGCCGCAATCCTGTCCTCCAGCAAACTCCACTCTGCGGGTCTCTGGAAATCGCGCGACGGCGACGTCCTGCAGGGGCCATCATAGAAGACAGTGTCTGGCATAACCCACCCCCTCTGGCCGGCAAGTCAAAGTCAAAGTGGCGAAGGGGGCGGACTGACCGCGCCATCGCACGGCCCCTTTTCAATAAACAGAAAACCGACCGTGAGCCAGGGCTCCACCGATGGCAAACCGCGGGGGCAAGCCACTAGATTTATGTTGGCGCCCTTCCCCTAAGCAGCAGCAGCCCGCGAGGGGGGCGAAGGGCGCGAGAGATGCCGATTCGACCCCTGGGAACGCGAGAGGCCACTTCACGAGGGGGTCCCGGGAGAGCGACGGCCCACACATTACCCAATTGACCCCTGGGCAGCGAGCGCTCCCTGCACGAGGAACTGTAAAAATGCGGTTTGATCGAGCCACGCGCAGCCGTTGCAGCGAGGCGGCGACACATCGCCAGCGAATTGTAGCGCAACCGCGACGTGCCAATCTGTAAACATATGTTTTGCATGCTGTCGCCTGCCGGGCAGCGACACCTCCGCGTAGGAATGCACCGTGAAGTTCGCAAGATCTCGTTGCAGCGGGCAACTCTGCGTGAACTGCCAGCCCATCGACCGGATGGCATGTGGAATCGCATTCAAACGCAAATTGCTGGGATAGCTCGGTATCGGGCACACTGCAAACTTGAGGCCGCAATGTCCCAAGCAACAGCTCAAGAGAGATATCCTCCTCATACTGCAGCTCCTCAACATCATGTTTTTCCTCCTGGCCTGATTTACTCCCCCCTGATCATGCGTCCACCTCCCCCCCCACTCATGGCGCAACGCTACCGGTCTGGCCAGACATCGCTCGCTGTCTCGCGGTGGGCCCCGAGGCCAGTGAATCCGACCCCCGGCAGCGCGTTCCAGCCCGCATTTGCCGCAACTGACAAGGATTCGTTGGACCCATTTGTAAGAGGAGAGGGAGTAACAATAAATCGAGGACGGGAGACACATTCGCCATGCTCGCGTAGAAGCTTTCGGCGACGCAGCTGCCGGCTGGAAGCGATAGAGGCTTCCTGGGGAGACATTGTGATTGTTGATTCGGTCGCCTGCGCGGGCGAGTCGCGAACGGGTCTGTGGCGCGTGGCTCGCATGGCAATGTCCAGTGTTGAACAGCATCCCATCGGACATCGTGCATGCATTTCCTGGCCGTGGGACTTTCGCTATGTTTTTGACGATTCGCTACGTTTTCGACGAACTCGGCCCACCAATATTCTAGAAACCCTCACAGGACCCCACGAGGACATCATTATCAGGGCCTTACCCAAAGTCGTGTCAGGACTTACTAGGACCCCTCGTATCACGGCCCCATGTGGGCCCAAACAGGGCCTCGCCCAGCCCCACATCAGGAAACTACAGCGTGACCTCGCAGAGACCACCATGACCCTACCAGGACCAACCTGGGGTCCTGCCAGGACCGCACAAGGAACCTACGTTCGCTTTTGAATCACCCTGCTGGGGCAAGCTTAATTAGCCGATCACTCTACGAGTTTGCGCCTGAGAGGCGGACGATCCTTGAGGGTCCAAGGTTGCCAAGCTTTGCCTGTTCTGTGGCCCTTGACTTACCGGTCTCCCTCTCCTTGCCTTCCTCGTCTTTTTATTATTTTGACCCTCCCCTTCACTATGTTCCCTCTCGCATTTCATCCTCACCTCCTCCCATCTGCTCTCCATGCCCTGCCCCCCCCTCGTCCTTCATATCTCCATTCCTCCCCTCCCGTCCTCACCTCCGCCCGCGGTCCCATCCCCACCTCTTTCGCTCCCCGCCCCATGTCCAATCCCGTCCTCACCACGTACTCCCTTCCCTTCTCTTCTCAATCCATCCCCGCCCTCCAGTGGCTCCCCTTTCTTCTCGGCGCCCCATGTGTTTTCCCCCTCCTCCCCCCCTCGCATGCCTCCTCCGCCCCTGCCTGCTTCCACCTCAGCCGCCGGCCCCAACGCGGAGGCGCGAGCGGGCCTTCGGCCGCGGCCTCACTGCCCATCTGGAAGGCGAGGCACCTTCCAGAAGGCGCGCAGGGCATAGCTGGGGACAGGGCAATGATGGGCACGCTCGGGGAAGGCAAGAGGAAAGAATGGGCCCGGAACAGCAGTCGCGCATGTGAGGTGACGGTGGCGGTCATGCTGGGTGTTGGGGACGGGAAGCTAGCTATTCTCTCGGGGCAAGGCACGTATGTTACGTGTGTATAGATATATATACATATGTACTTATATATAAAAATGTAAACACATATATATGTATATATATATATATCCTCTCTGCCCCGGCAGTCTGTTGCGATAGCGACGGGCTCTGCGATCCCATGCGTTTATCTTTGGAGTCGCCACGGGGGACCTTGAGAGTCCATCGGCGTAGACATCTCTTGGCAATGGCGGCACCTGCGATGCCACGTCCGCCAGCGAATGCGACATGATTGGATTCTTCCCGATTTCCGCAAATCTTCCGCTGGCCTCTGCCGACGGCGAGGGGTTAACTTGTTGTGGTTCCTCGAAAGCAACGGCGCTTTCTGGAGAGTCCGATGTGTGTGTGGGGGGGGGCAACATAACGTAGACCCGTCAGCCTTTGAAGCTGAGACGCAGATGCCGAGCGCGGCGATCGAGCGTGGTTTGGCGGTGGCCGAGTCCCGCGCCCAGCGTCCGAATGTTAGGAATGCGGGAGGAGAAAACAAAAGGGGGGATGATAAGGATGCGGGGGGGGTTGGAGGATAACTGAACGGGAAGATAGGCATAAAGAGGAGGGATGGCGAGTAGGAGGAGAAGGAGACGGAGGAGGAGGAGGAGAGTACATGAAGAGGGGCAGGTTGTGCCATAGGTTGCGCCGGTGGGTTGCGCCCATTGGTTGCGCCATAGGTTGCGCCATAGTTCCGCCCGACTTGCGTCCATAGGTTGCGCCATATCTTGCGCCCATGGGCTGCGCGCGTAGGTTGCGCCATAGGTTGCGCCGTAGGTTGCACAGTGTGTCGCCCCACAAGTTTCGCCAAAAGGTGCTTGATGGATTTTGCCGTGGTTTGCGCCGTACGTGGGTACACTATAGGCGACGCCATAGCTCGGGCCAGAAGTGGTTGCGCCATGGGTTGCGCCATAGCCACGGGCTGCGCCATAGGGGCGCGCGCGGGCGCGAACGTGGCGAGATCTTGACATGCCCACCCAAGCAAATCCCCCTAAGTGCAAATATTGTTCAAGGAGGCCGAAAGAGCCCTCTGCCCTTGGCGATTCCTCTCCCTGCCTTCCCACCCCCTCCCACCCTCCCCCCTCGCTCTCTCACCCGGTTCTTCTTCTGGATCCGCCCTTTTCCTCTCTGCGTCGCTTCGTCTCCTTCGCTCAGCTGCTCTTTTCAACTGCCTGGCATTGGTCCCATCCAGCCGTCTCGGCTGAATCCGTTGTTTTACCAAACGCTTTCTGGGTATTAGCTCCAACGCAGCCAGGATGCCCAAAGGCAAGGTCTTCGCATATGCCAGGACGAGTTCGAAGACGAACGCGAAGAACCCCTTCGGCAGCCGAAAAAGGCAGATCGACAGCGCCCTCGCGGCAGCAGGGGCCACCAAGAAAACGCCAGTCGAGCTCGTGTGCGACGTCATCTGCGGTACTTTGCCTCTTCCGCAAAGGTCGGGGAATTTAGGGCTCAAGAGCCCAATTCAGGATAATGTTTGTATGGTTTCCTCTGCGTGTCCTCCTCCTCCTTTTCCTCCTCTCCTCCTCCTCCTCTTCCTCCTCCTCCTCTTCCTCTTCCTCCTCCTCCTCCTCCTCTTCCTCCTCCTCCTCCTCCGCCTCCTCCTCTTCCTCCGTTCATCCTCCGTTCATCTTCCAGACCGTTTCCGTTGTTTCTGCCCCTCGCCCTCCACTCCGATTGTGTTTATCCTCCTCCTCCTTCTCTTTCTTCTGCTCCTCTCCCTCATCCGCCCCCCAGCCCCTCTTCCCCTTTGTCGCCCCCCCCCCTTCATCCTTCTCGCGTTTTTTCCTCCCTGCCCCCCTCCCTCGAGGTCCACTTTCACGAATCTCTTAGAGAAGGCAAGCAAGACCAAACAGAAAAAGGTGTACGTGGGCGAATCCAGGGCCGTCGCTCGCAACTACGACCTCTCAGACGAACTGTACAAAATGGGCAAGAAACTCGGCGTCACAATCGTCGCGGCTGACGCCCCGGGCCTCTTCGACCACAACCCGGGGCCCCTCCAGGTGTGCGAGCGCGTGAAAGGCAACCCCTGTATCGAAGGGGCCGCCCTTATAGAATGAGGCAGGGTTTGGCGACCCAGACGTGGTTGCATGTGAAACGGGTTTTATGTATCACCCCTGGCCCCGATAGGTTGGTGGAACCAACAATCGAGGACTGGCCGATACGTCGAAAATGCTTCCCGCAGGGCGGTTGCATTCATTCTCCACCGAACAACGAGGATGGGCTGGTACGTCCGGAATCGTGCCCCCCGAAGGTGGTTGCACATGAAACGGGTTTTATCCCCCACCCCTAGGCCCAATAGGCGGGCGGAGATACAAGCCTTCTAGGTGATTTGTCTTGACGCGCTTCCCGCGGAAGTTCTGGGGGAGCCCCAGAGACGTTTTGGTGGCGATCTCGGGGGCCATCCGTGTCCCGTTGCGGCCGTCTCCGTAATTCCCGCTTGGGGATTCCAGCCGGCCTGGGGGAACTAACGTCGAAGATACGAAAATCTCACAGGTCGTGGAGAAACATTGTGGTTTAATCGTCGAAGTTTCTTGGGGCGGTCCCGGGGGGCTCCAAGGCGACCCCGAGACGCCCGGGACAGCTTCGAAATGGCCCCCCTGAGGGCTATCGTCAGGGGATCTGGAGGCGCGGAATGTCAGCAGCGCCCCTGGGGCCCCAACGGCGCTGGGTAAACGAAAACTGGCATAGGTCTTCCAGCGGCGGGTGGACTTCGCCAGGACGGAGCTGGAGAAAGACTTGACGGTGCTACGCTTGGGCCAGTCGCGGGACGCGGAACTCAAGACTCAGGGGCGGCCTAACCGACCCTTAGTAAACCATCCCCTTCCGTGATGCCCCCCTCGCCTCGCCCCGAAACGTACGCGCGCGGCCGGAGGGGAGCTCGAATGGCGAGGAGGACGTCACGGACGGGGATGGTTTGCTAGAGGTCGGTTAGGCCGCGCCCAAATGGCGAGGGCGAAGGAGGTCGCCGCGCTCAAGCGCAAGAAGGCCAAGCTGTCCCCGCAGAAGATCACATTCGAGGGGAAAGCCAAGCTCGTCGGCAGGAGATCGACCTTGGAGAAAAAGGGGAAACTGACGAACAAACAAGTTGCCGAAGCGAAGAAGGCCATCAAAGGCCAGAGGAAGGGACGAGTCCGGCTTGCGGGTCATGGCCGGCAAGCTCTCCGCCGCGCTCAAGTGCGAGATTCGTTCGCACGATTGGGCGCGGCGCATCGCCAGCGAATTTGAACTGTGCTACTCAATGCGTTGGCGATTGCACGGTTTTCGGCGTCTCGAATTCTTAAGATATCGAGACGCCTAATTTTTATGGAGCAAGAAAACGAGACACCCAACACAACGCGTAATTTAACGTGGTTTTGCATGCAACGCAAAAACTCATTATGTTCCGTCTTGCCGCGTTCGGGTCTATGGAACTTGTTTTTGTTGTGTTTGTTTGTTCTCTCTCTCTCTCTCTGCTTCTCTCTCCTCTCTCTCTCTCTCCCTCTCCCTCTCTTCTCTCTCGCTCTCGCTCCCTCGCTCTCCCTCTCTCCCTCTCCCTCTCCTCCCCGCCCTCCCCCTCTCCCTTTCCCCTCCCCCCCCCTCCCCCCCTCCTCCCCCTGCTGCTCCCCCTTCCCTTTCCTGCCCTCCCCCCCCCCTCTCTCACTCCACCTCCCCCTCCCCTCCCCTCCCTTGCCCCCGCCGCGGCCCCGCCTCGAGGCTGGGGGCCTGGACGGCGACGGCCGCGACGTGGAGGGCGCGGAGGGCCTCGAGGGCCCTGCGCCGCCCCGCGCGCTCGGCGCGCGGCGCGCGCCGCTCCCGAGGAAGGGAGGGAGGCGCGGGCAGGGGGTGGGGGAAGGGGGAAGGAGGGGGGAGGAAGGGAGGAAAGGGAGGAAGGGACAGGAGGAGGGAGCAGCAACAAGGGGGGGACAGGGGAGGGAAGGCGGGGGGGACAGGAAAGGGCAGGGGGGAGGAGGAAAGGGCAGGGGGGAGGAGGGAGAGGGAGGAGGGCGAGGGGGCAGGTGGGGGGAGGGAGAGAGGGAGAGGGCGATTCTCGGGCCGGGCACAAGGGGGGGATAGCAAAGGGGGGGTTTGAGAACCAGCTCGCATAGCTGATTTTCCCGGCGCCTCCCGGCGCCGGAGGCGGCTATGCATCGAGGAGTGGGCCCCTGAGGGCGGGGCCGAAACCAGCTGCATGCAGCAGATTTCGTAGCACCCCCTTTCCCAATCCCCCCCCTTTCGCCCAGCCCGAAAAACTCGAATCGTTGGAGGTCTCGGGCGTTGGCAGCAGCAGCAGCAGCAGCGACGGCGCCAGGCAGCAGAGGCAGCACCAGCTGGTAAGTTCTGCCCCCGGTCCTCGAGGATCGAGGGGGGAGGTTTTCGGATGTTTCGGGTTTGGGCGTTTTCTGTCATTTTGTGGCGTCTGGCGCCTTTGGGGGCCTCCGGGGGCCCACAGGGCCATGGGAATCTCCAGGAACCACGGGGGCCTCTGGGGGTCAGCCTCCGGGGCGGGGGCAAAACTTGCCGCCGGCAGCGACAGCGACAGCGCCAACTGAAGCAAGACTCAGAGCAGGGGCAACGGCACAGGCAGCAGCAACAGCAACAGCAACATTTATAGCAGGAGCACAGAAAACCAACATCATAAAACAAATTTCGGGCCGCCTGTGGTTTTTAGGGCTATATTGGAGGCCTCTTGGGAGACCATTCCAAGATCTAGGGCTCAATGCTTTTGGAACGACATAAATACTCTGAGGCTGAATGTGAAGCGCTGGAACGGTATTCCAAAATCTAGGGCTGAATGATTTTTGGGAACGGCATTCCAAAATCTAGGTATGACCTGTTTGGGAACGGTATTCCCAAATCTAGGGTTCAATTATTTCGGAACGGCATTCCAAAATCTAGGAAATCTGGGCCTGAATGTTTTTTTGGGGACGCTATTCCAATCTCTAGGGCAAAATTCATTTCGAACGACACTCCAAGATCTAGGGCTGACCGTTCTTTGTAACGGATTCTTTGTAACGGGATTCCCACATATGGGACTAAATGCGGGTGGCGCGGCACTCCAACATATGGGGCGGATTGCGTGACATCTCGTGAAGGTTCTTGGTAATGCTGTTTACATAGAAACAGGTGCGGTAAAGAGATCACACACCACGGGCAAACATAAGGTGGACGCCCCGGCGCGGGCAACGATACCGCACCTGACTCTTGCGGGGCAGGCGTTTGTGCGGACAGGAATCGTTCTACATAAAGAAAAGAGGGCCGCTCGACGGGGGAAAACAAATGCTTACATATGCACACCACACCAGGACCAGAGGATTTATTAATCCCGCGCGCGCTGCACTCCGCGAACCTCCTCTGGCCTCCTGACGCCTCCTGCGGCCTCCTGGGGCCCCCTTAGCGCCTCCGGGAGCCCTGCTGAAGACGTCTTGGGACCTCGTGGGAACTCCTGAAGACTCCTGGGGCCGACTGGCACCGTCTGCCAAGCCATAGAGTCAGACTCCTCGCAACAGTCGCGTGCTGGAGCGAGCCTTTCCACAAGCGGGAGGACAAGGAGAAGTAAAAGATAACCTGTAGACTGAAAATTCTTGCAATTGTCGCGTTCTGAAAGGAAGAAAACTGGCGACGACGATGGCGACGAAAAGGATAAAGACCACAACGCATTAGCAATGTTGCCCCCCCCGGTTCCGAACTAAACTTGCCGATGACGACGACGACAGCGAACATGAAGACCACAACACGTTGACAAATTTGCCAACCCCTCTGGTTCCCGACTGAACCTGCCGACGGCGACGACGACGGCGAAAATGAAGATCACAGCGTATTAACAAAGTTGCCCCCCCTGATCCCGGACTCGACCAGCCGACGACGACGACGACGGCGAAAATGAAAACCACAACACGTTAACAAAGTTGCCCCCTGGCTCCATACTGAAACTTGCCGAAGACGACGACGACCACGGCGAAAATCAAAACCACAACACGTTAACAAAGTTGCCCCACTGGTTCTGGATTGAACCTGCCGACGACGACGACCACGGCGAAAATGAAGACAACAACACGTTAACAAAGTTTCCCCCTGATTCCGGACAGTCTGCTGACGACGACGACGACCCGAAAATGAAGACCACAACACGTTAACACAGTTCACCCCTGGTTCCGGATTCAACTGCCGACGACGATGACGACGACGGCGAAAATGAACACCACAACGCGATAGCAAACTTGTCCCCCCCTGGTTCCCGACTAAATCTGCCGACGACGACGGCGGCGGGTAGCAGTGAACAGATAGCGTAGGCTCAAAAATTTGGGGCTGATTGTGTTTGGAACGGTATTCCAAAATCTAGGGGTGAATGTTTTTGGAACGGCATTCCAAAACCTGGGGCTGAATGTGTTTGGAACGCTATTCCAAAATCTATGGCTTCAACCTCAGCCCTCCAGGACGTCCTGGAGCACCCCATTCCGCTGGACCGCCCAGGGGCCCACGAAAGCGGCGACAGCTGCGCAGTTCGCAGCTCCCAGGAAGAGCGAGGTCTCATTTTTATCGCCGTGGGACACCACTCCGCTGGACCTCCATTTGGCCTACGACAGTGGCGACAGTTTCGCAACTCGCAGCCCCAACGGAAGAGAAGCAAGAGGCAGGACGACGATGACATAGAGGAGGGAGGAAAGGGACGGAGGAGGACGAGGGGTCTTGGAAACCGCAGTGTTCATACGCGCTCCCGGGCGTGAAAAAGACGAGGCGAGCCCAGAAACATAGCTGACCTGAAACATAGGCACTCAAGCGCGTAGACGTTTCGCACAAATGCGGATGCACAGCCCTGCCCAGGCACCCCAAGGTGACCCCGCGATCCTGATGCGACCCCGCGATGGCCCCAAGCTGACCCCAATAGGCGACGGAGGCGGCGACGAGTGGGGGTGGGTGATCCACCCAGAGGGCAGAGTCTGAAGCACGGACAGAGTCTGAACCCGACCATCCTGGCATAGTATTGTGCCATCTCTGCCCCGTCTGTCCAATGGCGCTACCAGGTTTGTTTCGGGAGGGACCTCCGAGCGACGCTTGGACATGCTAGCCCATAGCGTTCGGAGTTGTCAACCTCTCAAATGCTTTGGAATGGGGAGGATGGCTTCGACTCTACCATGGTGTTCCTAAAGTTTTGACCATCCCAATGGACGTGCGACCCCCTCCCCCCCAAGGATCCTACAATGTGGAGTCCGGCGGCGGCGGAGTAAGCGGCGGCCCACACACAGGCTCTTTTCAGATATGTTATGTCCATTACGGTGTGAGGACATACTCCGCACGTTTTGTCACATGGAAAGACTTACTCCGCCGTCGTGGGCGAACTCGCCCGGCTTGTCCTTGCTGCAGCAATCGCTTACTCGACGTCCTCTGGAACCCGCCCCGCGCAATTTTCCCGACGACCGCAAGCGGTCGCTGCGCTCAGGGACATTCTGCCTCGACGCGACATCGCTTGAGGATGGGCTTGCGCCGCGCATTTCGATGTGCATGCGCACCGTGGCAGAATGGTCACACAAACATTAGTGACGGGTTAGCATGCCATGCGTTTGCATTGATTGCGCATAGAGTTTGACTTGTGCTGTGCCGTCGCATCGCTAGCGCATTGAATTGCACTCCGCTGTGGTGCATCACATGTCGATTGCAACGTGTTGTTTCCGCATTGCGTTCCAGATGTGCTGCGTCCCAATGGGTTGCATTTCGTGTCGGGTGATGCAATATGTTTGCAAGCGTGGCTTTTGCCTTTAATTCGCATTGCGCTGCAATGCGCGGCATTGCATTGCGCGCGCCCGCCTCCGCGCCGGTCCTCCACCGCACCCTTTTTGGCCCAAGACCCAGACTGGAGCGCCTCGCGCAGTGCCAGTTCCTCCGGATGGCTGGGGGTGCGCCTCAGACAACAGACCTGGCGCTCGTCAAAGTGCTCCTTGCGCTGGCCGCTCTCTGCACCGTGTAGGCGGCGCTCGCGCGCGAGTCGGCAGATGATGCAGCATGGAGCGCGCGCAGAACGATGCGCTGTATAAAGTTCCTCCAGACGGGGGGGGCTCCCTGGAGCACTGCTCGATGCTCCACTCGGCCAAGGGCGCCTGGGACGAGGCTCGGCGGGGCAAGGGCAGCGGCGGGCGGCCGCGCCATGAAGGGCTGCGCACCGACCAGCGACGGCGCCGGCGGCGGGCCAGCCGGGCGTGGGGCAGCGGCAGAACAAGCTCGCCTGAAAGGAGAAGGCACGCGGGCCCGGGAAGTGTTGAGCTCGGAAGCGCTGGGGGGGGGGGGGAGGGGGCGGGACGGGGGGGGCAAGTGGGCGGACGGGGGGCGGAGGGGCGTGGGCAGGTCATCATGTCCTCGGCTTCGCGAGGGACTTGGGTGCATTCCATGGACGCTC